GGCAGATGTTTAGCCGGCGAAGTCTCTAGTGTGCCTGCTCTATGGGCCCGGGAAGTTGACCTTTTATTTGGCTTCATGCGCCACTGAGTGACTTTAAAAGGATTGAACGGGGCTTCACCTCCAACTAAGTATCCAGTTCTCTTTGTACATACATGGTGACTGCTGACTGGAGAATTAATGCCACCTACTGCTTACCACGATGACACAATCCACAATATTTGAATAAGAGTAGTGGATAGAAAAGTGCATTTTCTTAAATATATTCCCTTAAATTTCAAGTAAAATTTGTGCTACATTTGGATCAATAATAAGTTGATATCTACTGTGCTTGGCACATGTGTACAGTATTACGTATTTGCTTTCTGTTCTTTTGTTTTCTCTCACATTTGATTGTAATGCAAGTAGAGTCTTGTAAGCCCATGTGGGCTGGGCATCTTTGAATGGAAAAATAGTCATTCAATATCTATGGAGAAGTGTTCATTGTTCCTCACTTGCACATTGTTTTACTTATCACATTAGTTATTTAGTCTCACTCATTTTATAGATTTTTTTCCATGTACTTTTAATCTTCTCACCACCTGCAAAATAATGTCAAACAAAACACCTATTGAGGCTTCTTTGTAGACTAAATTAATTAAGATGTGTCCCTCTGGCCAAAATGTTTCACCAGTCCTGTAATAAAATGATGTTTGAGTTGTTTATCTGACAGAGGCGTACTTGATGTATTCTGCCTGAGTTTCTTCGATGGCAATTGATCCAGTCGTGGATAACTCTGGTGCCGTCTTCTTCCTCCTGGCTGTCAGTTGTAGTTTCTCACTATGGCATCTGTGCTGGCTCACTTCCTAGATGTGGTCAATCAGCGGGGTCCTCTACAGACCGTACCAACACCGTATTAACACTCAGTATGTGGCGAGTGAACGCATCTACTTTACACACATACTCATAGCTCTGAAGGAGTACTTTATTTCCTCTGCCAAGGAGATTTTGTTTTTGTTTGTTTGACTGTGTGTTTGTGAGTGAGCAGAATATCTCAAATCTTGACAACAGATTGCAGAGAATTGGTGGAAAGTTAGTCTCTGGTACAAGGAACAAGTGTTTAGTTTGGGTGCAGAATAGGGCGTTTCGATTTTTTTCTTGTGAACCTGACACCTGTATCCTGTTATTATTGTTGGTATGTTTTTACTGTCTGTTGAAAACAACTTTTCAACATTATTTTTAGCGGTGCTAGTGATGTGGTTCTAGGGATGGCAATGTCAGGCGGTTGGTGGGGCGATACACCACTTTGGTCCTGGATGGATTAACACGACTTTAAACAGATTAATCACACTCCCCAGAGAATGGATTGACTTTTGTGATCCTCTGACTCTCCTCTAACACCCGTACAAGATTGATTTTTAAGTATTGGATGGATTGCCATGGACTTTGCTCGACACATTCTTGTCCACCTAAGGACAATTTATGTTCACTAATATGATCCACTCACTTTTAACACTCACTAGCAATAGTGAGTGCCGCAAAATTGTTTGTCCAGTACTTTGGTTTACACCCAAATATCTGCCAAACTAATGACATTCCCATCAGCCTCAGCTGAACTCTGTGTTCAGTGCTAGTTGGAAAATGTTAGCATGCTAACACGACAATCTAAGATGGTGAACATCATTGACTGTGTAATATAATGCACGTAGCTTTAGTGATGTCACCCATTGGTTTGTGGACTCCTGTTTGGCATTTTGGCCGTCGCCATCTTGGTTTTTTTGGAGCCAGAAGTGACCATACATGGATGAAAGGATGATGCTAACCCCAATGCTAGCTGCTTAGTCAGCACGGTGCATTTACAGCTAATGGCGATAATGCTAATGCTATTTTTTGCTAGCAACAAACAGGCTTAAAACCATGAAAAGTAAACATACTAACTGGAAAAACTGAACATGTTACTCCTTAGAGGGTCTTTAGTAGACTTTTTTTTAGGCTACCGAAATGTTACGGTTTGCTTTCATTAACTGAAAACACACTGAAATAGCAGCAGCTAAGGCTACACCTACTCTGTGCATCTGGGGTTATGCCATGCTTACATTACTTAACCAGCGTCCTTACTGTAGTAACGACTTGTCAACAGAGGCACCCACCTAACTCTCAAAGCGGACATGTCCCTAAAGCTAGGTGCACAACCTAACGCATTGACGGATTGACGCTGACCGGAAGTCATTCATTCCAACGGAGGTGAAAATGACAGATAGTAACAGACTAGCGCACAGCACGGTAGCGGTTCCGTTGACCGTCGGACCGTGGAGGCGTTGGATTTTTTCCTACTCGGCCGTTGACAAGATGGGAGAAACGGAACAGAATGAAATTGCAATCGTAGTTGTAAACAAACAAACAATAGCTCATTTATTTATGCAAAAGAACAATAAGCATGAGCTTTTTTTCCACTATTAAAAGTGATTGTTGCCCATAGGTTGATTTCTATGCGGTTGATAATTACTCTATATTTTCGAATTTCGCATTCATTTCTATATATATATCAGCTCTTTCAATAGCACACTACTCAGCTCGTCTCAGTTCAGTTGGTACAGTGACTTTGCAGGAAGATATTGCTAGCTCTTCTGCTAGATGACTTCGCTAAACAGCTCTCGCCGACAGCACGCTAGCTAGCCACCTGCATCTGGCCAGGTCTGTCAACGACGGAACCTCGCAGCGTTGTTCTGGGGGTGGGGAATGCGTTGGGGAAACGCTCCATTAAAACAGGAAAAAAAGGTTGTGCACCCGGTGTAATTATTGGCAACTTTAAGCCTTAGTAATATTTAAACAGGTGAGTTATATAATAATTCATCCCCCATACAGTTATCATAAATGAGGACATTAGCTATAGAAACCAAAACCATTTTCTACCAGGCTGTGAACATGTTTATTCCTGTGGCCATTACAGCCACTGCAGTTTTTCGCATCTCCACGTTGGCTTTATTTTTCAGCTCTGGAGGTTGCCGCTCGGTTAACATCTTAGTTTGGATGATTAGCCATTGTCATTGTGAGCACGTTAGCATGCTGGCTTTAGCACTTAGCTCAGAGCACTGCTGTGTCTAAGTGCAGCCTCACAGAGCCACCAGCATGGCTGTAGACTGTCTTGTTCAGATAAAATGAAGGATTACATGCTCCCTTATGGCTTGAGAAATCCCACCACTGATATATTATAAAGCCCTCTAAAACCCTTTAGATTACCATTTGAAAAAAAAAAAAGCCATTGTCACTGAGCTTCCTGAAAAGTTGACATTTTGAAGACAAAGGGCTCGAGGAGAGTGGACGGTGGCAGCATCTGCTTTTATCCCAAATCAGAAAGATGGAGATTGAATATATTAAATGTGTTTTTTAAATGGCAGGAGGATTGGCTGCCTGCTGCCTTGACGTGAACTCTTAAGAGTTTTCTCTTAAACTCTACAAATGTTTTATTATGTGTTTTGCATTGAGCTAAGTCTGTACTACTGCTGCAGTGTGATCTATTTCTGTCTGTCTTAACTTAAGTCATACAGTAAACAGACAGATGAGCAACTGTGCTCTCCACCCATTATACACACACATGCATTATACTGGCATTAGCTGTAACACGAACCTCAAACAAATGTGGTGAGGAGTTGCTTGAATATATGTTTAAGCCGCTGCTCATGACTTCCTGCTCACCCCACTCTGGTTCAGCGCGGTGTTGCTGCACCGGAGAGCTTTAGACATGTGCACTCACCCGTAATAAGAATGGTTAACAGTTGCAGCATACAGTACATACTATTTTAAACCCTCATTTAACCAGATTAGTCAATTAAGAGCAAATTACGCAGAAAAAAAGAGAAACAGAATAGGTTGAAGAAATGAGCCTTGCACATAATTTGAGTTGATATTAGCTGAATTTCTTTGCACAATTTGGGCTGGCTCCACCACAGTGAGGACTTAGATTAGAGTCAGGGAAAAGATGCTTAGAAGTATGTTCCTATCACTGCTGTACGTGAGCTTTGGAGGTCACACTTATATAAAATGATGGATTTTTTCATTCTTTGTCTGCTGTATTTATTCCCAAGTTTTAGAGAAGCAGTTGCGAGAAAGCTTGGCATTTCTGTGTTTAATGTCAAAAAGGCAAACAAAGTGGCGGGAAGCACGGGAGCATTATAATTGCTGTGGCGAGCCGACACACTCAGTGATTTTACAGCATCATCCTCGCAAAGTTGAGTAAAGAATGCCGCTGAATGGATGGTTAACTTCTGTCTGCTGTCTCTTTCTCGGTATGATCACTATGAAGCATCATCTGCATTGTGAGTCCTTGTGTGCCTGGTAGACCTGCTGCTGCTGCTGCTGCTGCTGCTGCCACAATGTATACACTCATGATACTATAAGCTGGTTTGGGTAACAGTGCTTACAATCCCTGTGCCGTGACCAAGAACTCGGGGGAAAAAAAAAATTGTGTCACAACCACCACCACCCCCGGCTTTCACCGCTCCTGCTCTCCATCTCCCTCTCTCTGAATTTCTTGTCGTTTGATGTCTCAGACTTTGTGCTCGAGTCAGGCGCGAGAACATTCCAAAAATGGATCTGATTCGCATTTGGTGTGATTATGACTCTGAACAAATAGACACAACAATTATATTTTTTTTTTGTATAATCCATCTTCTCAGCTAAAAGGTCCTTGTTGTTTTGTGTTTTGCAAGTGTTGTGAGTGAAATGTAGGCCGGTACATGGCGGTGTTTTCACATTTCAGTGGTTGGTTGAGGTCCTGCTGCTGTATTAGTCCCCGTGCTGCTTGTTTAATAATGCATTAGCTTTACTTGACCCAAAGCTACCTAAGATAGCCCTCAGGATGTTTTCATTTTATCAGTGTGCTTCAAGTTCATAAGCTCTCTGTCTTCCTCCTCCTCCCTCTCTGTCCTGTCCCTGTCACTCCTCTCTTTCTTCCATCTCCCTGATCTGTGTGTGTACATGTTTGTCTCCTTTTCTCTATATGTGTGTATGCTTTCTGCTCCCAGCCCCTCTGCGGAAAGCAAAGTTTGTGGAGAGCCCTCGCATTCCACAATCAGAGCTTGGCTCCCCTACACACACCTCCACCACTGCCAAGAATCCAGACCTGGACACATACTGCCCTGGTAAGTTTTTTTGGCCAGCTCATCCCTCATTTCGTCGTGTTACTTTCCTGCATGTTGGTTCCTGTTTGTGAATGCGGTGGAGAGACACAGAGATGGGGTGAATTTTTCGTAGCTACTCTGCCTGCTGCTGTAAAGCATTGCTAAGGTCGTTAATGAAACAGCTTTGCCGGTGCCCACAGTGTCCATCCTCATTGCCTCCTCCCTCCCTGTCACTCTAATCCTCCCTCGCTGCGTCCTCACTCTGCTCCGTGTTCTCGGAGCTTGTTTAGGTGCTGTTTTTTCTGTTTAACTTCACAGTCGGTGGTTGCTCGGTAATCCTGCGGACAGTCCAGATTTCCCTCAACCCCCCACCTCCATCTATCCTTGTCAAACCTCCCCCCCGTTGGTCTCTCCCCTCCTTGCACAGTAAAGCGGGTCACTAGAGGATAGCACTCTGCTGAGATTTGGTTCTAGTATATCTGCTTTCTCATCTTGCTTCTCCCGTTCCTGCTGCCACCGAGAAGTGCAGTGTTAGCTTCCTGACCTGTCTTGTTGGTTCGACCTCTGGTGGCTTTAAGGACGTCTCAGCAGAGCAGGACGATGCTGCGACACCGCAGGGCTGGATGAAGACATGAGAGAAATAGTGGTGGGAGGTCCCGGGGCTTAAGTGTTGTAACTTTGGGAGGAAAATGGTCGACAGAGTGCTACCAGCCTTCTCCGTGTGCCAGCCTCTTCTGCTGAGTCTCTGCTCAATGGGAGCTATAAGTAGGTGATCTGTTTCTAGAAACGTGCTAGAATATACTTTTATTGTACTTTTTATAAGTCTTAATAGTAGGTGGTACCGTCGCCTCCTGAGACCCCAGCTTTTGTTTGCTTTGCATTTTTTTTTGCCTAGCTATCTGGGATGAATAGGACCTTATAAGAATATTAAAAACTACGTACTGTCTTTGAACAGTGAGCAGTTTGGAAAAAAAAATTCTTCACATGTAGACAATGGGTTTATTTTTAATTCATTCGTTCATTCAAACCTTAATATAGGACTTGGGAAATCAATTGAGGAAGACCCTCATTTTCAGTGAAGCTGAGCATGAACAAAGAACCGTCATGCACGTCAATTAAAACAGAAATGAAATCACACAAAACAACAACAATAGCAATAAATGATCGCTAAAAGTAGAAATACAGGATGATGTATAGATTTATATTTAAAAGCATTCACACTCAATTAAAACAAGATCACAAATAAGGCATTTAACCAGCCGTAATCGTGGCAGAGTGTCCAAGTTTAAGGTCGTTTGCAGATTATTCCATGTATACGGAGCACTGTAAGAGAGTGGCAGTCTTCCTAGTTCAGCTCTGATTAAGGGAGTGTGAAGCAACAACCTGTTCTGTGAAGGAGCACCAAGATTCTGTGAGGACAGAGTTAAAGGGGATGAAATACAGAGTGGAAGCATCTGTGTAGTCACAAGTCAGTATTAAACAGTTTATTTGAAGGCCTGAACATCATTGTGCAAACACAAAATTGCAACATCTGTTCAGTGTTTTGTAACTCTACAGGTTAGGGGTCACTGGCCAAGTCTAAAAGTGTTCAAAACTTTTCATTTCAATGCCTGAACATGACTGTGCAAAAAAATAAATTAATTAAAAAAATCCAAATAATGCAAAATATCCAGAAGTAGTGTAATTTGTGACTCTGTATGAATTTCCCTCGCTCTATATTCCAAGCTAGGAATGTCCTTTTAGTTTGTAGGAACAGTCCGTCACTCCTAATTGGCCTGTGTAAAAAGTCCTCAAACAAGTACTTCCTAATCTTAGCTTGTTGTGTACAGTGTACATTTGCTCATCTATGGTAGTGCAAAAAAAATCGACCAGCCCAAGAATCTTACCTCTATTTAATTTATTTTCAAAAGGGAGAGTTTTACACATAAACAAAAGGGTTCAAGTTTCAGTAATAAAATGTTTGTTTAACTAAAGATACCCCTCTGTTTTTATTCCTTTAAGTGTCTTTGTAACTCATAATAATAGTAAATAATTGTGTAAAACCGTGTACCAGCATACCATGAAGCTGCAATACTTTCTGAAGCGGTTATCGTACCTTGAAAATCTCATACCGTTGCAACCTTATTTTTGTATCGGAATTGGCTGCAGACTGATTTGGCAGAGATGGCTGCCATCTTGTTTTTACATGAACTAGTGTATTGTGCTTTTGCTGCCACTACATGGCACAAATAAGTGTCCACAAATGAGGACAACAGGTCTAAGTTAAGTAAAATGAACTATAAGGTGCAGCAAACCCAACATGTTATGTCGTCATTTGAGGATGCAGAGTCGCAGGAGGTTACGATAGACCCTTCACCTCTGGCTTGGCTTGCCGTTGAGTCAAATGGGTGAAAAACTGTTGTCCAAGCCTAAGCTTTGCAGTAATCCTGTGAAACAGACTGTGGAAATACCCATCAGTTGTGATGTGCTGCTACGAGCTGCTGTAGATGTGACATTTCAGGGTTGAAATGGTAATCTCTAGCGCCATTGAGGCAAGAAAAACAGTTGATTACTACCAGGAATTCTGTGTCTGCGCAATAACAACTCGAGCTGGAGAGGAACCAAGAGGGATGAGATGAGTTTCCTGGGGTGAGGACTCACACCTCCCAGGTGGACAGATGGACATCTTAGCGCTTAACAAGAGCTCCCTGGCATGAGCAACAGCAGCAGCAGGGCAGTGACTTAAACATCTGATCGCATGCCAGTCAGCGCTCTGCTGCTGACACTGTCTGGCGATCCTGAGAGGAAGTCAAGTATCAGCTGATTTTTATGGCCTCAAAGAAACTTTGTGGTCTCATAAATATGGTTTGTGAATATTTTGCGAGATAGCTTGTAAAATTTCACCAGCAGCTGTCCTCCTTATATCATCACAGTGAAGGCTTTTCTAATGATGTTAGAGCTCAGTCTTCCTACAGTAACTTCCCTGACGAGGTGTGGGTGCCACGGATAAAAGCCTTTATTAACGTGTGTGTAATTTTATATTACACTGTCCATTTATAGTTGACTTAAAGGTCCAGTGTGTGGGATTTAGGGGCTCCTATTGGCAAAATTGTATGTAGTATTCATACGTATTTTTATACGTTTATAATCACCTAAAAATAAGAAACACTGGCTCTGGAGTTTAAGCACTCAGGAGAAGTTTCAGCTCTAAATCCTACAGACTGGACCTTTGATTTTGAGTGGAGTTGAGTTGGTCCTCATTTCTTTTTGCAGTCAGTTATTTTTTTATTTATTTTGCATAGGTTTTTACCATTGAAAGAAAGAAAGAAAGAAAGAAAGAACAGGAAAGATAAAGAAACAGGTCTTTGGGGAAATATCAGAGATATCGATGTCTGTGTTTGATTGACAGTGACTGGCAGGCTGAGCCCCAACAGGAGAGCAAGTGACAGAGTGAACAAACTTGTATTGTAGCACACAAGCCATGGGCAGTGTGTCTGAAAGCAGCATATCGAGGATTAAGAGCCACATCTGCATCTGAACAAACCAAAATTACATCTGTAGGCTGTTTACATTTATGTAATCTGATTGGATGGATGGAAACAAGTTCATCATCTGCAAAGACAGAGAACAAGTCTGGGGACGGCATCATGAAACCAAAAAAACTGAAATATAAATGTCCCCCCTTAAGATCGGACAGAGCAGATATGTTTGCTTTGTTTATATATGTGCAGTGGTATGGTGGTCAGGTGTAGTTTGGTAGAAAGAAAATAGTTCTGGGTGAACTGTCCGTTTTAAAATGTACCAAATGCAACAAAAAATTACAAAGAAAACAGTTTGATAAAGAAAAGATAAAGTGCCGAAGGATTTAAAAGTTGGGGCCGTTACTGTAACACGTTTTGGAAAAACAATTAAGAAATTGTTTAGGTAGAGCGGGTCGTCCACTAATCCAAAGATCAGCGGTTCAATCCCCATCTCCTCCAGTCTGCATGTCGAAGTATCCTTGGGCAAGATGCTGAACCCCAAATTGCTCCCAATGGCTAGTCAGAGGACTAGAAAAGCTTTTTACCATTTACTATTTATTCTAAAAAAAAAAATGGATACCTGACATATCATCACGTTGAGGTTAAAATCAATTAAATAGTCAATAAACCAGCTCTTGCAACATAAACAACATAGTAAAATGTCTGACAATGGTCTCACAGTATAAAGGGTTAACGTTAGCCAGCTTTTTGCCAAGACAACTTAAATATAATCTTAATTATGCAGACTAGATTTTGGGATCTTTTCATCTGCCGAAGCTGTACAGATTGCCTCTCCAGAGCATACGCCACATCCACTGCAGTCACGGTCTCCCTCTTAGCCATCTCTGTGTAGTTAGGTGATAGCATCAGGGATCTCGTTCTCCAGGGAGACCTCCAAAACACCGCGGGTCTCCTGGTAGAGCAGAGCGGAGATAGGCTTCACTCCATCATGGCGAGCCAAATGGTTGATAGTTGGTTTGGTGGTTACAGTGATACTTATCGCACTGAGTCCTTTTCCTCCTTTGCCTCTGCTACTCAACCTCTGATAAGTCTCTCTGTTCACCACTTCTTCACTCAGCTTATTTTCAAGTTATTTTAATTTCAAGTGTGTTATCGCTTCTTAATGGTAGGCTATTATACGGCCATATGTCCATAGTGTTCTATATGACCAAACCCTGGAATATAAACAGCCATATTGGCCGTCAGGAAAAAAAAAAAAAAAGTCTAGCCTAAACCCTGATATCATCATATCACCCGCTGCTAACCCAGAGTCCTAACATGCTTTCATGTATAAACCTCTAAATGTTGTTGTGTAGATAAGATCACCACTGTGCACATGAGGAATGTGAAATTCACTCCTCTGATCTCCTGATTAGTCACTGCTTTCTGGATGATATGCTCGCCTGTGCGTATCTTTCTGTAACAGTATGTTCAGTGTTACCAGTCTATCATTAATCTTCATTTTGTTTAGCTCTGCAAATTGATTTTTTTCCTTTTAATCTACATGTCACCTCTTCTTCG